AAAGAAAAGAAAGAAAGAAAGAAAGAAAGAAAGAAAGAAAGAAAGAAAGAAAAATGTAATTCTTTAAACAAACAAAAGGTGAGTTCTGGGAGCTGGGTGGTGGTGGGGGGATCCAAGCGTGGACGCTCTGCAAGGCAGGCCCACAGGGAAGGCACCCAGTTAGTGGCAGGAGGCCTCCAAGCCTGCAGGCACTCAGGCCTGGCCCAGGCTGGCTGAGACTGGCAGTGGGTGGCGTCGAGACCTGTTGGGGTGCATCTCTCTGTGTCTCTGTCTCTCTGACTCGTGGAAGAAATAAACATTTTTTTAAGGACAGGTTTTGGGGACCGGCAGGTGGCATGGTGGTTAAGGCGCTGGGTGATCCCACCTGGCTGACCATAGTTCTAATCCTGGACCCGTGGCTTGCTTTTTCTTTCTCTCTCTGTTTCTCTGGCCTAATTGAAATAAATGAATGGATAAATGAAACTGAATAATTCTTTTTTATTTTTTTTTTAAAAAAAGGTGGGTTTTATATCTCAACATGTAGAAGAAAGTAAAGAGGAGAAAAGAGGCTGAAGTGGAGGAGGAAGCTCCCCAGCGCCACTGGGCCGGGGAGCAGAGGCCTCCAAGAGCCGAAGAAGAAAGGAGCCCCAGCGAGCGGAAATGCTGACACGGAGGCCTCCTGAGAGGCCTAGCACCGCCCACTCCAAAGGGAGTGGCTCACACCAAAGGGCAATGGCCCTTACCTGCCCCAGATGTGGGCAGAGGTAAGCAGCGTGAGGGGGCTAGTCAGGGACCTTCAGTGACCAGATGAAGGGGCCTCGGGGAGGGAGGCCTAGGAGGTGGTGACCGAGTTGTCCCCTCAGTCACGCTGCGACAGGACCCAGGACAAGCTACTCAGATGCCTCTGCAGAGGCTTTGCCCACGACAGCCATTTCCTGACCTGGGAGACACTGAACGGCGTGCTTGGGGACGCGGGGACTAAGTCAGAGCCAGCCTTCTGGGCACCTCGGCCGGGACGTGCCACGCGCCCTTCCTACCGCCTCCGGCACCTGCAGGCCTCAGGAGCGCCGGCACGCAGGGGCAGGAAGTCGAGTTCAGGGAGGACATCCTCTCAGCCGGGTTAACTTAGCCAGCGTGACGTCCCACTCAGCCAGTCACCAAGATGAGCACGCCAGCGCAGCAGCGGGGACCCTCAGCTCAGATCGGACACCACTCCAGGCAGTTCCCTTCTTTTACATTATATTAAAACAAACCCCCCCACACACACGATTACAGAGCCCTGGGGCGGCGGGAAGGGCTCCCGAGAGTGGCTCTCCGAGGGAGTCTCACTGGCTGTTGTCCAGGCTCGCCAGGAAGGCGCAGCACTCGGGCTGGGGCTCAGGGCAAACGTTCCCGACCAAGCACTGGCTGCACCTGCTCGGGCGGGTCTCTCCCGGGGCACTGTGGCATTAAGTGTGGACTGCACACGTGCCCAGGGACATGACATCCCTCTTTCTTACAAGGGTGAAGAAATCGAGAGTAGAGAACCGTGGCGGGTGAGCAGGCGTGGTCAGGCCCCAGCCCACAGGCTGGCCCTCGGGAGGCTGGGCTCTGCATCTGAGGGGCAGGAGAGGCAGTGCACCTCGCCCCAGAGTATCACGGAACCAGGCCGGCCAGACAAGACCAGCGGCTGGGGCGGAGGGGCCCCGGCCCCGATGGGGGGCGGGAG